ATATACTGAGAAAATACACAGGGTGAAACGAAATTCGCACACAACCTCCCCCATGGCGCGACTCCTTGTCAAAAGCAGTAGAAAATATTGTACAATTTATGTCCTGTGATGTTTAGTTTTCAAGATACAGATCACCGTCGTATTGCGCAAGCTCTCAAAGGATCAAACCGTGCGCCATGTAGTTACCATAGGTGTTAGAAGCGGTCACCACCCATTTCAAGGCAGGCGACAATGTTCCGCGCGGCATTCGCCCGAGCACAACTTAACATATTGACACCAACCGTTTTCACAGCGGCGTAAATCTTACGAGATCTCCGAAACTCCTGAAAGGGACTGCGTAAACGTGTTCCTTCAGATGTTCACTGAGTCCATCGTAGTTAGATTTGGCGACCTTGGAGACCATGCTACGACCCTCGACTACCTATGCACCTTCCTGGTCATGTCGCGTTCAATCAGTGCCTAACTTAGTATTGCGCTGGAGTTCCGTCATGCTGAAATCATAACATCTGCCTCACTTCTTAGAGGTACATCATCAAGCAGCCCCGGACAGGATAGTTTAGTATGGTTAAGCAGTCGGTCTGAAGCTAGCAGATGGGGCCCCACGACAACTTTCCTGACAATTCACTCTCAAACGCTGACAGAGAAGAGGGATAACGCAGGCAAATATACATCTTCCACGTTCTGTTCTGAATTTGAGCTCCAAAATCACCCAGGTTGAATGGCAATAGTGACAAGACCCAGGCAAATGACGAAGGCTGAAAATACCACAGGGGAAACTGATCCTGAAATACCTGGATGCCAGGTTTTACAGTTCGGGGATGTCTGAGGAGACATCATGAAGTCTGACCGGGCACGTTGGTCTAGAGGTAAAGTTCTGGACATGAATTATGGAGGAGTTCGGTTCGAATGGCGGCACACGAGGCTATCTTAAATAAGGTTTTCCGTGATTTCATTCAGTCCCTCAAGGAAAATTCCTGGATAGCACTTCGATTAGTCTACACCCGCTTCCAACCAAATCCTATGTAATTCGTCCATAAATCAGGTCGGAAAATAAAGCTGGGTAATACATTCAGCTAAACAACAAGGCGTTCGCTCGGTATAAAGTAAGTAAAGCTATCCCTGTAACAGGCCGTGAAGGCCCATAGGGTTGTTAGACGTTGAGGGTCCCACATTTTCTAGACAATCAGCTCACAGATGGCTGAAGGTTGTCAGCCTTACGCGCCGGCCGCCCTTTACTCCCCACGAAGATTCCTGGTACTCATTTGTGTCAGAGGCTGAGTCGACCCCAGGGCCATAGTACATCTGGAAGGATTAGGTCAACTGAAAAAGAAACCCACCTCATGTGGACTCGAACCCGGGACCTTCCGGCTTGCCTCAACCAGCTACGCTACCGCGTGCCCACACTTTTTAAAAATAGCAGTAATTTTTGTGTTACTATATTACTTTTCGGTAGATTTCATTTTTCAATATTGATATTTCCAAAAGTCAACGGGGGGCGGGGGCGGATACCTGGTTTTCACCTCCCCCCCGCCAGTGCCCATGATTCGAGCCTTGCACAATCATCTCGATCTTGTTTTACTAAGATGATTATATGATTATGAATTTGCATATGAATTTAGGTTGGACATTTGAATTGTTCACATGCACTTCACGTGATGACACTCGCAGTACGTTCTGTCTCCTATACACTCGCTGTTGTTTACTTTCGCTTTAAAACACTTGGACAGTATTACGTGAAGTTGTGCAGTATAAGTGTCAAATGTGAACCGTCCTGACACGTAAAATATCTTAAGAGAACTGTATAAACTTCTGTATAACATCTACGGCTAACATAATGTCGTTAAATTACACGAGCCTCAGTGCAAAACGTCTGGAAAATTGTAAAGTTCTTTTTGCAACGTTAAAACTTATACTTTCAAACAAAATTTTATTTTTATGCCATGAAGTCAGCCGCATTTTCAATTGCAACAGTTATGGCCAAATTAATTATTCATTTAAAAGATACAAATTAAGCCAATAAAAATAACAAGATAAACTGATTATACATAATTAATTATTCAGTACTGTACTACCTCCAATCCCCCAATGTGTCTTTATGGCACAGAGCTTAATTAATTAAACACCGCTACAATTTTACGTTTTCCTGCTGTGTAATACCGTTCCGGCCTTTACAATACAAGTGATTCGCTCGGAGGAGGCCCCTAATTAATAATTCAGGTAATAAATTACCAATGGAACCACAACATGGCGTGTACGTATCTTAGCGGATATGAAGATAATTGTCCTGTAGAAGATGCTGAAATCATCAGTTTCCCTCCGCCTGGAGACACAGGCCGATAGGACCGGACAGGACGCACCATGTCCATGAATACTGTACGCATGGCGCGACCCGGGCAGGCAGGCACCGGGTCACTGTTGCAAAGCACACTGTGTTGCGAAGTTTCATTTCCATCAGTAAATAACTGAATTATTTATAATCATTACTTCGCTGACTCTGTATAATTCGAGGTACAGAAGCGAAAGCATACGAAAATCTGACCTAGAAAATTTAGTTAAAACGATTAACGTTTCTGACGTTTATTCGGGAGAGTACAACGGACTTAGTCCCACCCCACTAGCAATAAAAAAACAGCTTCACTAAATAAACCATAGAGAAATAAAATACACGAATTTGACTGCCATTTTGTACTCTTCTTACAATTAGATTAATGTTGGCAAAATAAGATTAGAATGGGTACACAGATTGCATTTAAGAAGGTAATAGCCGCTCTTAAGCTTGTGTATGGGGTTGAAAACTGGGCTCTGAATAGATCTGAGAGGAAGTAAACTGAAACAGCAGAAATGCGCTTTTAAATGGTTGCCTTTGGTTATACAATTGCCGGCCATGTACTCAGTACGACAGTACGCTGTGCCTTACAAACAAATGCTTTGGAAGAAGGAATCCAACATTACGAAAACAAGTGGCGTAATCCTATCTTAAGAGTGGATATTTTTAAGACCAAGAAAGTTAGGAATTACCAACAAGACAGACGAAGAAACGTTGGAAAGCGATTGGAGGATAGTTTTTGATATAGAACAGGTTAATAAAACATACCTTGAAAGAGAAGATAATATGATTATAGGCTAACTCTTGAGAGCACCAAGAACTGTGACCAGTATACTTGCACACACTTGCACATATCACGGAGAATGAAAGACAACTAAAATCAACTGTGCTCTTTTAACTCAACGTGGGTGGTGCCTGATTAGGGGGTAGGGGTTAAGGACTGTTTCTCTCCCTCCCTTCCTTTCAAACAACCATCCACGACCTACATGGCATTTCAGAAATAAATATTCGTACAAACACAGATACGAACTTAGCATTTTTGTCATTACGTTTCTAGTCAGAATCAGAGATTCATAATATGTACAAGCATAGAACAGACAAACTCAGCAGGGAGTCGACATTCACACACCACAGCAACAAACAAAACACCCACAACCTGCCCCGGGTGATTATGATATGATGATGGAGAATTTGGTAGGATGAAGATTGGCAGGGGAAACCGAAGTACCCGTAGAAAACCCGCCCCAACGCCACTTTGTCCACTACAAAGCCCACTTGACCAGACCCCGGGATCGAACCCGGACCTCCGCGGTGGTAAGGCAGCGACGCCAGCGACTAACCGCTTGAGCTATGGCGCGGCCTAAAGACCAGCTTACTGCACAAGGGAAGGATGGGCAAAACACAGCCCAAGAAAAAATTAACTTGGCCCAAGGCATTATGAATTGTTATTAATAACACGGTCCTTTATGACTTTTGGGCGTTGTCGACAAAGTAAGAAGAGTGTCTCATATGTAGATCACGCCTGTATTTCTGTCTGTGACCTAGTATGAGCGTCTAAACCAAGGACTGAATTTTTAGATTTGACGACATGCAAAACTTTCGCAGAAAATAGTCGGGCAATTCCGGTTTTCAGCATAATGATTCATAACAATGTCATAAACAGATCCTCTCATGTAGATCTATGTAGTAAATAACCCAATTTCGGTAAAATTAAAAATAAAGAGATCTTTGCATAGCGTCAGAAGGCCTTTTTGATTTTTAGCCATAATTACCGAATATTTTTCTGGCTGCTGGTATCCAGACTGTGTAGCAACGATGGAAGGATGATTGATGATTCGGAAAGAATGTGGTAAAAATCGATCGTGGCCTAATCAAGGTTCTGTCCTGGAATTTTCTTGGAGGTACTGAGGAAAGCCGCGAATAATTTCAGTCAGGATAACCAATGTATCGGCCAAGATTCGAAATGTATACCTCCCGAATACGAGTCCAGAGCGTTACCGCTACATCGGTCCTGACTAGGTGGTGACATACTACATTGTATAAGGCATAATGGACTTTTCCATTCCCATGAACTTTTTCACAGATTTTATTGAAATTTGATATTGTGCATTATTATACTGTTGAAGTATTCATTTTGCTTATTTTATGTTTTGCTGAAATTCCGTTTACAGACCGGCTGAAAGTAAACTTAATAATCTAAAAATAATGCTGCAGGGAATTTTGTATGCTACGTTACAGAAGGACAACAGCCATTATACAATGCCCTAAATTTTTTAAAATACATCTTATTCATCTCATACTGAATCATGAGGTGCCAACAGGATTTTGTCCAATGGGTGGCAACCAACTTTCTGGAATGGGGATGGGGAAGCTAGAACATCTGTTTACAGGTTTATGTTCAAAGTGTTCAAGATTATTTACTCATTATGGTTTCCCCTAGAGCATTCAGGACAAAATATATTTTTTAAAATATCTTTGATTTTTATTATTGATATCTGGTATATATTTCTTTCTTTTCTTCAATTCATATTTTTTCCAAAACACATTGGGGAGGGGGGGGGGCTGACTCTGCCTCCTTCCCTACCTACATCCATGTACTGAACCGCTAGGCCTACTCATATTAACTACATGTCAATTTTTACTTTCTGAAGGTATTTCATTCCTTTTGTTCCAGCCAAATACCAGCTTTGAAACAAACCATGCAGCCTCTAACACGAACCTTGCAGTTGAATATCAGTATTGGTTTCCAACATATTTTGGGATGGTATGTACCCTTTTGGATTATAACCCCCCCCCCATTGTGACATATAAATCATATTAACAATACAATACAATGTATTAATAAGCAGCAAAATTTCAGGTGAGGAATTTATGTTCTATGGAATTCTGACCATCTTATGTATGTATAGTAATGCTTGCACAGGAATGCCAAGTTTCCATACATACCTGTAAGGATGTTCATTAACATGAAACTTCTGAAAACATGTTGATGTTCGTGACACACAAAAACGAAGACTTGAATGGAACTATCAAATCCTGTCAGTAGACTCTTGTCTATTATAAGGTAACTACTATACATAATTCATCATGACTTTACTTTGGTTCATGAGTGATTATTCTTTCAGCCGACATAATAAATTTTGTGTTACAGCTTATGACATAGTCCTATTATACAGAGAGATTAATCCTCTCATTATAAGACTACAATTTCAGTGTGTTGTTGGTTTGTTATTTCATTTTGGAAGATGTGTAGTGTTGTAAATACTTGAAGGAAAATAACAAAAGAATGTCCTCTGAAGAAGAAAAAAGTATGTGAATGCTTGAAAACAATAAGGGAATATGTTGTCACTGAACAGCCAAACATATGGACTGAAGCATTTCCAAAATCAAATTTCAGTTTTCACACGAAAATAAGTGATCTGTTTATATAAGTGTTCCATAGTTATAGTATATCTGAGTATAAATACTTTAATAATGGAATTTGTAATACCAGCGATGTGAGGAGACACAAACTTTCTCTTTCATCACCTAATGAAAAACTGTTTTTAGTGGACTTTTTCATACAAACAATTTAGGTACAAGTTATGAACTAGAAAAAACTTTTTAATAGTGTTTTTTCATTATGATATTTATTAATTTTCCTGTCATGAACACTACTGCAGGAAAGATTAAACCAAATATGTTTATTTTTATTATGTATACAAATGCCTAGAGTTTTAAAACTTCATGATAGTGTCACGTAGTGGGTTTTGGATTGACGATTGGATTTATTGGACTCTTTGATGCAGTACATGACTACACTTTACAATTTGCTATTACACACAAATACACACAAACTAGTGTCCACAGTCACGTCTTTACTGGTCGTTGCTCAGTAGCGGCTTCCAATTGTGGACATTTCCCTTCCTTAGGGTTACCGAACTGTCCCCAGCATCAGCTACCAGCTTCTCACAGCAACAGTTCACAATGACTGAACCTCAGCTGTTCTCCAACTCACTCACTTCGCAAACTCAATCTCAAAGTCAAAGTTATGTTACGACTAATGGTCAGTCGGCAGTCTGTCTTTGTGTCAAGGCCCTATCTGGGGCCCCAGACCAGATTTTTATGACTGTCAGACATATGTGGGTTTGTTGATGTTGAATGCCTTCTCTGACGAGAGGCCAGGTCTGTCGTTTACAATTGCTGCTGGTCTTTACCAGTGCACTCATTCTTGGGTCCGAGTCCCTAGGGAGTAACGACCATATCTTACTGTCTCAGATTCAAGAATTTCCCAACCTCTAGGGCCAGGTCCTTGTACTTATATCTCCCAGGAACAGGATGGCCCAGTTATACCCCCAGGCACTGGGTTAAACTCAACTCCTCCCTAACTGTCCTGCTTATAATATCTCGCCACAGACCACACAGAAAACACCGTTCCTCTGTTGCTGTTTACAGGCTGTTACCTAGTAATGGCAGTTGTCTAGTTATTTGTTTCATAGTCGTTGCCTGGCAATGGCCCACATACCACAATATTCATAACCCTGTGCTTCCTTATGAATGCAACTATCAATCCTAATAGTGAGCTGAGAAACCTATATCTTTGAGTTTTGAAGGTAACCACACACCTCCATCTACTGCCAAAGTTAAGAGTGCCTGAAGCTATCCCCCCACTGTTCCACCTTTATGTCTATAGCACACCTTACATATTTTAAGTTCAGGAACAACTTTAGAACTTTTACGTTCAATTTATTGTAGTATACTCATACAGCTCACAGCGGTTCATGTATGGATGGTTCGTATGATATACAGTGTCCCAGGAGGAAAGGTCAATATTCTGGAAGGTCATAGTATCGGCCATTCTAAGCAAATAGTGTATATGTACATGTGTCCTATTCCAAATGGTTTTCAAGATAGAGCTATTTCAAACACTGGTATTTATTGTTTAAGTGACAAAGTTGGTACAGTTCACCTGCTCATCTTGGTTCTTTGCTTGTGGATTTCTCTGCCCTGAATGTCAGTTCACACAAGATATACATGGCGCCTCATCCCAGAAGACAGCATTCTTAATAGTCACCACCATGGAAACCTCAAATCTTACATGGTTCCTGTGGTATAATGCAGTTTCGAAAATTCCACCATCAATATCAGTGCCCTTTGCATCTCGTGCAAGGACATGGTGTGTTGCTTGTCTGAGTGCATCTTGACGTTCCTTTATGTGGGTGATAACATCCACAGCTCTACTGCAAAAACTGTTCAAATAAGGCATGTATATATATACACTTTATGCTTAGAATGACTCATACCATGACCTCCCAGAATACTGACATTCCTCCTGGGACACTTTGTATAATAATAATAATGTATTAATTTTTTCCTTAGTTCATTTAATGACATTTTATGAACTTCCCAGGTTGTACAGCATCAAATATGATGATGATTATGACTGATGGAATGGTTTTGGCCTATTTTAAGGGTCTGCCCCAGCATTTGCTTGAATGGACCAAGGAAAGCTACACAAAATCCCAGTGAGTAACATGTAGCTATGTTTTATAGTAAGTTAAGTTTTTAAGAAGTTTCCATCAATTTCTGAAAATTCAAGCAAGTTAGAAGTCACAGACAAGTGTTTTTAATTTCCTGCTCTTTTGTTTGTAACCATGGCATAAATTGGCCAACACATCACATTCCCAAATTTTGACTAAATTAATTTGATATAAGCTACTTGAAATCCTTGCATCTTCATTTCATGAAGTCATTTCACACTAAATCATGCATCTGTGCTACCAATTCATTGTTTCTAGTGATCGAAGGTCATCCAGGACATTCAAGACTTCTCAACATGATAAAACAACTAAAAGACTCGAGCCACACACACTGTTCATCTCCAGATGTTATTTGCACCAATTACAGAGATTGTTCACTGTCTTTCTATTATTCTCACAAGATTTAATGCACACACGTTATTTTGTATTATGGGATATTGTTAAACTGACACATGACTAAAACATACAGAATTTAAATACTAATAATGAACAACTAAAGCAATGGCATAACTTATAAACATGACTGAACACATAGCAAAATGGCACAGGATATGATCATTACAACATGTGCAGTATGCTTTATCTGAGATATGAATTCAGCAGCACTACTTACTGATGGTCATGCTTTCATACATGTTATGGCTTTGAATGTTTGCCTTATATCCTATGTATCTTCTCTGAGCACATTTTCACAACAGTAACTAGAAGACCAAAGAACAAAACAAAACTTTCAAACATGAAGTGTATGAGAAAAGACAAGTGTGAGGATAATGTTAATTATTAGATTATAAAAGGATGTAAAAGGTAAAGTTGTCCCTGTGCTTAACTAATTAAGCACTACACCATGAAATCGTATGGGGGAGTGGACCTTGGCACTAGTTGGAGGTGAGTGGTCAGCTTCATGTCCCAGCCACTTTACCCCTGGGGAAAGAGCATCTGGTACCCACTGGATAGGAGGTTTGCTGGGCTCCAGAGTCAGTCTGGACAATGTGGAGAAGAAAAAATTCTTGACCCTACCAGGGCTTGAACTCTGACCCCTTGGCTGTCCAGCCCATAGCCAGTCACTATACCGACTGCGCTTTCCTGGCTCCCTATAAAAGGATCTAAAGTTTTTTAAATCTAAAGACTGGGAGAAAAATTATGATCAGTAAACATTTATTTAATCCTTGACACTTCATTAACATAGTCTATATAGCATCAAACGATAGAGTGATAAACAGCATGAATCAACAAGGATTTAAAGTAAGTAGCCATGATCTTTTAGGATAGACCTAGTATCTGATCTTTTGCCTGATGGGAGTGAGGAAAATCATGAGAAACTTGAATTAAGATGTATTGTTTTGATGATTCAAAGCCTGAACCTCCCACATATGAATCATGGATACTAACCACTGCAAAGCAAGGAATTTTCCATTCTGATAGAGCAGTAGGTTGCGTTCTATGGATATGTGAATTTAAGAATATCGATACAGCCCATAGGATAGTTACTTACCATGAATGAAAGCCAAGAGCACATTCTTTAAATAATTCTTATTTCCTGTACCATATGATGGAATAAAAAGGTACATTTCATGGATTTAAAATTATATAAATTATTGTATTAAATGAATATATGAATATAATGAATGAATATAATATGGAATAACTTGTTTATAATGCAGGTATACCAATATTTATATGGCGTTGCTTTTCTGAAAAATGCTGCATAATGGGAAAATGTGCAAATTAAATATGCTTCTGTAGACTCAGTAATGTAGAATGCTTAATCTTTGGGTAAGAGACCAAGTTTGATATCTAGATAAATGTAACATGATCTGCCACATAAAGTAAAGTAACCGACAAGTAAGCACACATTCATATATGTACTTGTATATATATATAAAGTTAATATAACAGAAAGGCGGAACCTCTTAAATTACAAAATTTTGGTCATCAGAGCATATATTGTTAACTGTTAACATGTTGCATGAATGTTGGTTACATAGTAGTTGTGAACAAGCAAGCAGTTTTTGTTTCAGTGTATTGCATCTATTCTATGAGTACTGATAATATTTTGATGTGGATATGTGAAGTGTAGTATACTATATAAAGCATATGATTTATGATTGACTATTTGTGCATGTGATCCGTGGAAGATAGCGTTAAACATGGGCCTTGACTTATCATTTGAGAACTTGTAGGACTGCAAAGGAATACAGGATATAGCAGGAGAAATTAACAGTAGCTTATGTAACAAATGATAACATTTTCTGTTGAAGTTTCTATGGGTGTTACATTAGTATGTATATATATTTTTTTCTTTCACATTGAACTGTTTCACAATACTTGTATAGCAAATGGGAATATAAATTGCCTTTAAGTTCATATAACAACAATTACCATTATAAAAATGTTTTCCTCCTTTACAATATAAAAAGGTGAAAACACATCCAACATTTAACATGACAAACATTACTGTAGTACATAACACTCACAGATTGCAGTATACAATATACAATGAACACATTCTGAAAATTCAATATATAAATTTGTGCACACCACTTACATTTAATTTTTAAACAGAGCATACTTCACATCCACTCGCTTTTCATGCATTATTTACAGACCAGTACAGCAAAATACCACGAAGATGATAGAATAGTTTCCATATGTTTTTCATGCATAGTACATAAAATGAGCACTTCATATAGAAATCATGTCTGCCCATCAATCCACATATTTTATCTGAAGTTACTTAATGAAATTCAATGAAATTTGGTATTCAGTCACACTAAAAGATGCCACCCTAATTTACATTTGGTCCATATCATATTGACTGAATATAATACATGTACAGTTCAATTCAAACTCCATTAAGTCTTTTTGAAAACTGAGTCACTGGACAAAGAGGACATACACTGTGAAAAACACAGATCAAATTGACATAAATTAATTTTAAATATTTTCAATATGATACATATGTTTAATGAAACAGAAGAAAAAATTTGCCACTGGGTTGTGTAATATCTCCATCTGTTTTTATGAGATTTAGTCCAATAGGTGGCTTTATTGTTTGTTGTGTTATGTGACGGTAATTTTCTGTGCTCACTGACCCTGTTAACAACAGAATTTATACCTCTGAACAAAGTATTGCCTCAGATGTTATTATAACTCAGGCAATATAGTATCAAATGACGAATGTTTGGTGAATAATGAATTACAAAGGATTTTGAAGTGGCCATGTCCTAATCATGGTACAATCCTGCTATCTGCCTAAAGAGTCTGAGGAAATCCTCAGGGAGGATAGCTCTTGTTTCAGTTGAAATTCAGACTGAGCACACCTGAATATGAGTTTTGAGAATCACTGCAACATCAGCCTGCTTAGAACCTCTGATGCTGATGATCTCTGTCAACACTAAGCATTTGTTTGCTCTAAGTATTTAAACCAGAGAGGTATATAAGTATTGCTTTTCACCACTGGCTACTAATGTACGTGATATTTTGCTGAAAAGTGATGACATATTTCAACATGTTCTGCATTACCTCTGGACCAATACCTATCTGCCTCCACCTCAGAATGAAGAAAACCTTACCAGCATGTTATGTCATAAATAATAGAGATAACACTCCTGTTGAAATTCACACACATTCCAACATCATTTAAATTTTTAGTATGTACAGCTCAGCCATGCATATGTACAAGTGAGAAACTAAACACCTCGCACACCCACCTAACAAGTTTATGTACAGGAAACAATAATTCGTAGTTACATACATTATCAAAATTGTTTCTGTGAACACTTTTAATTTCAGTACAACTTGGTTCATCATAGATATTATTTAATATCTACACCAGATTTCATTTTATGTCTTATGTTGAATCAAATATAACATAAGCGATTTTCTACTTGATAATGCAAGAGCATGGCACTTTTTCTGTATAATCATACAGACACTGAACATTATTTTAAAGTTCCCATCTTGAGTAAAACTTTAAATCAATGACTTTGGTTGGATTGCTTAAACAGTCATGGTTACTGTTGTCTGCATATACTGTTGAACCCTCACACCCTGCTCATAACTCTGTACTCATTTCATGAACAATTTCCTGTACACTACACTGCTGTGTTGTGTTTGTAGAAAGGTCAGTTCCATCACTACTACTGGCTGCCATATGCACTGGTGAGCAAACTTGTACTGGGTCTTGTGATTCATCATCTTCTCGAATAGTGGCTGTGTCATTAGTCCAACAAGAACCAATCATCACGCTTGTCTGCAACAAGTGTATGAGACAAGGTATCAGTATAGAAGTGTGTTCAAAAACTCATAAAATTCACAGATATTATAAACATATCATAATTTTTAAATTATATACATTATTAAAATGAACAAGTATCATTATTTTAATTTATGTTTATAAGATAATAAATTAAAAATCATAATCTAGTACTTGCTGCACAACATATCATGAAATAAACAGTAACAGTAATATAACAGATCAGTAACTCCTGTTTCAAGTTATCTGTTTACAATGATTTATATATGAGCTATTATTTTAAGGAGAAATATATGTTGCCATGCTCATTATAATAAAAGTTTAAATTAAAAACTCTCAGTGCCATGAGTGGGACATAGCACTTTGGAAACTAATCCTTCTTTTCTCAGCCATGTTTGGTATGTGGGATCAATGAAAATAAATCTGCCCTGCCCTCTGTGGTCACTTAAGCAAATTATTTGCATTCTGCAAACAGAATGTATAGGTTTCTATGAAACTGAGAAGACAAAACACTGAAATGCCTTTTGCTTGGAACCTCGATATGGGAAGTGTTAATATGCCATTCAACTATTTGGATTATTTTGAAGTTACATTACTGTTAAAGAAATGGTGATATACAAATAACCAGTATATAACCACCAACACAATAGTAATTTTATATCTGAATTGACTGGACCATCATGGAATGACATTTATTTGTCCAAATTTAAAATCATCAGTGAATAATAATATGGGAACACCTGTGCCATTCATTAACTACTGAGTATTGTTGCAACTCAAGCTTTAAGAGGAGGCAACAGCAGATGTGCAGGCAAGTAACTCATTACAGCTGCTACATTAGGAGCGCAATTCAGGCACAAGTGAAATGTTCCTGAATGCCAGGCAACATGCAAGCAGGCAGACAAGCAAGCAGGTGAGCATGCAGTGGGGTCAGATACTCACTGGTACGTGCTTTGTATGAGAGGTGAGAGGATTAGCTCTAAACTGGCTGAGCGTGACCTCTGCAGCTCCATGGTCATCGTGAGTCCTGCGTCGCCCCCTCCCCGGAGGTCCCCCCAGCCTCCTCGTCTCGGTCGTGCGTCCGTTACTCCTGTCAGCTGCTGCATCATCACCACACAACCAACAAGCTTAGCTCCGAAGCTCACACATAGGCCCTCAGCCATTCTGCTAAGGAATCCCACATTCTAACGATCCTTAGGCTAGATGCTTGTTTCCATTTTCAGAACAGGATATGAAATTTCTTTTTAACTCTTCTGCAGACACAGAACTCTCAGTCCAAAGCATTAGCCTAGATTAATCCCACCTTAAGCACTGTAGTTTTATCCCTCCCTACAGTCCAAATATTCTACATTTGAGATCTATACATTAGTGTGTCACAGTTAAAAGTTGGTATGTTAATTTTTGAATTTGTTATAATGTTTATGTGTGTCTTATAGAATAAAAGATTGTACTTCTCTACCTACATCACAGATACTGTATATCAGGTGAAAGAGTTTGAAGTATTGTCATGCCAGTCCCAGTCAGTTGATGTCTGTACAGTCTGTTAGCATGTAACTATAGATGGGATTATTAGCTATTTCTACTTGTGAAAGCAATGCAAGAAGGAAGGATGCATAATGCACTAAAAGGCTCTACTATAAAGCTCTAATGCAAGAAATCAGATTAAATTACAGAGCAATTCCAAGGCATAAAACAAAAAAAGAATGTAAAATTGCATCAAGCAAAGTCATAAGAACGGAGAATATGGAAAATATGAAAGTAATATTAAACTGAAATTGTGGTAATACATCAAGAATTTGAAAACTGAAGCAGGCAGTATGCTTGAATTAAATAACAACACTTCAAATAATAATTTATGCATGAAGTATTACCACAGTGTTACTTCACAGCCATATCACAAATTCAATACTCACATTGAATTTATTGGAGTCCCTGAGAATGCCAGAAGTGTTGGGCTGGTGACCCCTGAAGTACAGTGGGCCTCTTCTAGTGCCTCCATCCCCACTGCGGGTACTTCTTACACTCCCACTCCAATTATTGTTAATGTTACTAGCATCAGCAGGAGTTGTAGAATTAGGTAGAGTGCGGTAGGTACCCAAGGGCGGAGCCCCAGGAGACATCCAAGCTAAGCCATCACCATCATTGGAAGCCCCAGCCACCAACCTGCCACTTCCTTTCCCTCTTGCCCTTTGATCATCCCACAGCCTATGTACAGTGCTAGGATCAGGAGCCATGTGGGTCGAAGATACCCGCATTGAGCTGAAGGGATATGGCCGAGACTGGATTGGGGCCCCAGAATGGGAATTAATGGCACTTGTACTCACTAAGGAAGGCAGTGGAGGTTGTGAAGAAGACAGCTTTGTGGTCTGTGCATATCTTGGGCCTTCACTCAACCTGCAACATATGCACAAACACAGACAGGCTACATCAATTTAGGGTAAATATTAAGCATTAAAAGCAACAAAGACAACAACCAAAATACACCACAGGACTCTAACAGAACCCACTAAAAAAAACTCCATGAAACCAAGTCCTTCTTGAAAAGCCAACAGCTGTTCAGCTACTTGCAAATTTCCCAAAATTTTATGGAACTGGGAAGTTCATTATAATGTTCACAACTGGTCCCTATCCTCAGTCAGATTAATCCAGTCCACACCACCCCACCCTATTTATCTATTATCCATTTTAACAGTAACCTCATATCTATGGCTAGGTCTCCTTAGTCATCTCTTTCCTTTTGGCTTTCCCACCAAAATCCTGTGTTTTTTCATCTTCACTCCCATGTGTGCTGCATGCCTTGCCCATCCCATCCTCCTCCACTTGACCATTCTAATTATAAATACTTGATGAAGGACGTAAGTTTTGAAGCTCCTCATTATGTACTTTTCTCCTGCCTCTTATTATATCATCCCTCTCTGGTCCAAATATTCTCCTCAGCACCCTGTTCTCAAACATCCTCAGTCTATGTTCTTCCCTTAACATTGGAGACCAAGTTTCACACCCACATAAAACTACAGCAAAATTATAGTTCTGTATATTTTAATCTTAACGTCTTTGGACAGGAGATGAGAAGATGGTAATTCTGAACTGACTGGTCGCATGCATTACCCAAATTCAATCTGCTTTTAACTTCCTCATGAATCAATTTTGATCTTTTATTGTCATTCCCCTAAGGTATGAACTGTGTCACATTTTCAAATGATCTATTAGCTGTCTTTATGTTATGATTTGGTCCTACATTCTGGTGATGAGACCTCAACATATACTTAGTTTTCTCTGTGTTTACTTCTAGACCAACCTCCTTAGTAGCATCAATTAGAGGTTCTTTGTTTTTATTTATGATATCTATGTTATCTCCCAATATATTTACATCAGCACAGACCAGTAGTTAATGTGTCCCATTTAATTTCAGTTCCACCTGGTCTTCCTGGGCCTTCCTAATGGCATGTTCCAAAGAGAAGTGGAAATACAATGGCAATAAAGCATCTCTTACTTTTAGATAATTTTGAATTGGAAACATATCAGACAAATATTTACCTACATGTGTTTTACTATAGATTCACTGAAATACATTTTAATAAGACTTACTGCAGTGAAACCTTGATTTTACACTTTCTAAGAGGCTGCCTAAGGTAAGCATAGAATCAGGAAAATGAGAATGATATATTGTAAAGAGAAACCAACTGTGGTCTTTCTGTGGCATCAATAAGATGAGATGGTGATTATAACCCATGTATGGGTAGGATGAAGAAGAAAGTGGTTATAGTCTGTTTTGAGGTGCTATCCCAGCATTGGTCTGGATAGACTGGCAAATATAGTATGTACCTAGTTGCACTATTTCTTTAACTATTCAATGAAAGTCTTAGATTATTTTTTTCTTGAGCTCTCAGTCTGTATAATTCATTTTCAACTTCGCTGCACATTACAATAATACTGTTCTCGGTATCAAATCGATACATGTATTTTCTGGCAGCTTTCAGAACCTCTGGTGCATCCAAGAATTATATTTTATGTTCTGCCACTTCCTCTTGTCCTTCAGACCTAGTAAAATGTTGACCTAACAACTGGTTGACACTCTGGATTCCACAGACCTCAAGAGCACTGTTGTGTGTTGTGTAGTCCTCAAACTGTATTCCAAGAGGTTGTAAACTGTACCAGTCATCCTCTTCATCTTCCCTGAGTTTGACTGCTGGCATCATCAACTGAGAAACCAGGCTTGACAGAGGAATTCTTGATTGTAGTGGGTGTATCAATCTCCAGGTTTCTCCTATGAAGTGCACTGCAGATAACACATCCAACTTCATCTGTGCACCATCTTATGGCAGCCCCCCACATATCATGGCTACAGTCTTCAGAATCAACCTCTTTCTGTAATGGCACATGAATGCATGAATAATTCCCAAATATAATGACTGTAGCCAGCTGGGAGAAATACAAATCTGATGTTGCTGAGAAATGTGGTGTGCTTCAGATGGGCAGTATACTGATCAATGAAAAGAAAGATTTTGCGATTTTTAGCACCCAGTTTTGTATCTAGTTGCATGAGATAATCTTCAAATATTTTGGTGGTCAGCCAAAGATTTGTATTATATTCATATTTTATAGGCAGTCTTTTGACACTCTTGAAGCAACGTGGAATTTTATACCATCCAGTTTCAAGAGGTGGCAGTTTATCACTACCATCAGCATTCCACACAAGGAGTACAGCAACAGGCTGTTTAGATTTTATAACACCACGAAAAAATCTCCTCAAAAAGTGAAGGTCTTGGTAGGTTGTAGACTCAAAAATAGAGAGGTCTCATCAGCATTATATGTATCATAGAGATAATAAGCTTCAATTTCTTGCAATAGTCAGTAATCTTTCCTGTCTGCTACAGTTTCTGGATCAACACTCATACTCTTACCAGATAGAGCTCTGTAATCAATTTTGTGTCTCTCTTTAAATCTGCAGATCTATCCATTGGAAGCTGAAAAGTTGGCTATTCCCAGATGAGCGACGATGTGCAAGGCCTTTTCCTTGAGATGGGTGCCACGTATGGAAGCATTTCACTCATAAGCGTGCTTGAACCATGCAGCAGTGCAGCTTCCAGTTTCTCCAGTGGCAATCGTTTGAAGAAAGGTTTGAAGAAAGAATTTTTTTACAGTTCTTCACAGTAGTATTTAGTATGGATGAGTTTCAAGCGTGGTGCTAGTTCAATACGTGTGCCAATACGTACATCAACTTTAGCTCAATTATTTATTACATAATTTACTGTAAATGATATCCATTTTCCTTGCTTGCTGTCAATTCGTCTTAATAACAGTAAAATTTGGTCTGTACGAAGTGAAATCACATTTTTACCGGGAGATTGAAGCATTTAACCTGGGTGCTATATTGCAATGGTCATTTCTGGAAACATTTGTCAGACAAGAGAGTGACACTGCTCTTGCTGAGTTACTCTAATACTAATAATCAACAAGATACAATCTGGCCTAATATGTGAGCTGCTTGGATGACAACGGCATAAAAATCCCATCATGTGAAATTTGTCTTTGTGAAATCATACGGTTTGCATGAATCACTCTCAACTGTGCATCAGCCAATTGATATTAAGTATTTTCAAACTGAACCATTTGCAACTGGTAACAGTTAAGGAAGGTCATTGTTTCAAATAACAAATTATGAAAACTGAACTGCAAAACTAAAACCAGGTAAATGTTCATAGCCAGGACTAGAAAAATTAAGTGCAAATTTGGGGAAAAGCTGAAAATGTGGAAACATAAAATTTGTTAAGTTTAACATTTCTGTTATGGGCATTTGGCAGGAACCAAGGAAGAAGTGTAGCTGCGCCACAGCTCAAGCAGTTAGTCGCTGGCTGCCCACCACAGTGGCCTGGGTTCAATCCCAGGTCTGATCAAGTGGGATTTGTGGTGGACAAAGTGGTGCTGGGGCGAGTTTTCTCTGAGTACTTCGGTTTTCCCTGCCAATCTTCATTCCACCAAATTCTCCATCATCATAGTCACCTGTGGCCGGTTACAATAGGTCAATTAGTGGCTGCTGTGCCGAGTGGACCCAGTTGGACACCCTACTATGTGAAAATCAAGAAGTGCATACATTCATGAAAAAAGTAAAATCTTAGATGATGAAATCAAAGTTTGACGGCAGTTTTAAGGGTACATCAAACTTACAAACTTACTGTACTCTACTTCCCTCCTAACTGAATTTATGATGCTGGATAAAATTTTGCATAACAGTGATACACTATATGATACTGCTTAGTCTAATTAGAAACTTTTGTAAAATGTTCAACATTGCTATTAATTATATTTTAAATTTAATATATTTCACAATATAACTGCAATAAATCCTCATTAATTCAGTACAGGATAATTTAAAAGAAATGTCAATCCCTGTCTTATGAGAAGGTACAACTTTATGTGATTTTAAATGTGGACAATTATAGATTCAATTAATTTGTAATTCAGAGTAGTGACTAAGTCTTGTAAATAATAAAAGTCTGATAAATTTAATCTGCAGACCCAAATGACTTTTCTAAATGTGTAGAAAGTGGTCAGTTTTGAGCAAAATGACACATGGGAGGAGGGAGTAGAGTCTGCAAAAGATATTGGGACGGGTCCTGTAAGGGAAGCAATTGTAGTGCAAACTGTATTTTTTTCCACCTTAATAGTTACTAGTCAGGTATATGAAGAAGGAACAATATGAGTGTTTCCTGGGCTAAGAAGAAACATAAGGGCAAGACTTAAGTAGGAAATTGAAATAATCAGAGAAATCAGAAAAGGGGAAAGGGCTAATACAGATATTCCTGAACCATATAATTACGCAGTCAATGCTGTAACATAACTATATAAACAGGACACAACTGAAAATCAGATTACTGAAGGTGCAAAAACTGGTAAAAAGAAGGGAATGTGAGAAACCGGGTATTAAAATTTAAAAGACAGATTATCTGAATGATTTTACTATCAGTAGTATTTCTACTGACTCTTCATTCCAGGAAGAAGCCAAGTGCATTGTACTGATAAAGGAAATTGCGTTTAAATGATCAAACGGATCGCTGCAAAGATTTAGGAAGCAAAGTGTCATTGAAAACTGTCCGAAGAATGTGGCACCAGCACTGGGACAATATGTGTCATAGAATATATTTATGTAAATGAATTTGCATTGTTTAACACTGCTTATCATGATACAACATTAGAAATTAAATTAAAAAATCACGAAGAAAAGAAGTGCAAGGATTGGCTGTGTTTCTTGATGCACAGGGAAGGGAGCGGAAAGAAAGTATATGTCCCAAAACTGTTATCAAACCTATCTGAGCATCTTACAACTGTTATGACTTATTTCTATTCCTGCAAAAAGTTTACAATTACAGGATCAAATTCAAACCAATTTGCATTAAAATGAATCTCGCATCTTTCAAAGGTAAAAATATTATGTCATGGTTCCAAGATGAGTATAAAATTGTTATATATTTTTAGCATAACATCATCTAATATTTCTGTCTTTGAAAAATGAAGATTAATTTTAACATGAATTAGTTCAATGCCGAACTTGTAATTTCACATTTTTCTTTCAGGGATTTAAACAATTCAACAATTTTATACACCATGTAATATACTGAGGGGCACACGATAGCATAATTGGTTGAGGCACTATGCTACAAGCCAGAAGGTCGTGGGTTTGATTCCTGATTACATCGGTGGATTTTTCGATTCACCTTATCCTACCAGCCACATTAGGACCCTTGGATTGACTTAGCCTCTAACAGAAATGAGTACCAGTAATCTTCCTGGGGGGTAAAGGGCGGCGGGCACGTAAGGCTGAACTCACCACCATCTGTGTGCCATTTCTCTAAATAATGTGGGAGCCTCGATGTCTCACAACTATATAGGCTTCCATGGCCTGTTACAGGGACAGCTTTGCCTTTATTTACCTTTTCTTATGCAATATATTGTCACGTGTCGGAGTGACTATAGACAGGGTTTTGGATTGGAGATTGGATTTACTGACCCCTTTAATACACAAATCTAAGTCCTTTCCAAGCCTGCAGTGTCTTCACTGGTCTTATCCCGGTAACGAATATTAACAACAGAGTTTCTTCAACTGCTCCGACGTAGTCTTCTCTTCACAGACTCCTGTAGAATTCTTAATTTTTGCTTCAATTGTTCTCCTTATAACTCCTCAGCATGGACCAATTGCTCCAATCTTTTCTGTTGGAACGTGTTTGCGAAGGCACTACACAATAATGGCTGTGTAATCTTGAGTATTACAAGTTTGTTACCTAGCGGCGAATGTTGTTTCGTTGTTTGTTTCAAAGTCGTTACCCATTAATCTTTCCACATGCTACATTGCTCCCTACAGGCATACCACCATTTCTTCTTTTCCTAGGGTTGTGCTTGTGACGTCTATGATCAGCCTCACATTTCTCCACCATGGCTTTGTTCTTACAGTGATTACTAACTGCTCCCACTGCTCCCTCCTTTAAGGAGGCTCATCCCAAGCAGCTCCCTGATAAGGTGCCTGTCAGTCCAGGTGTATCACCAGCATCCTTCTTTTCCAGTCAGGGAAGGCAAAATTTCTGAAAGTGGTCAGTGCTCCTACATCTCCGGCTCTTAAGCTTTTCATCTCTTCTTTTGTTTGGGTGGTGGCCAGTTCCCCGAAAATATCTCAACACTCTGTTTTTGAATCCTCACAGAAGACCTGGCTGCTAGTTTGACGACCTCCAGCGCTATGGTCTGTCTCAGGGCTGGTTGAGACATTTTTCTTGTTTCCCAGGTGTAGCTGCAGTTTCAGGTCTCTGTTCCTTATGCTACTGTTGCATTTCTACCGTGCCCAAAGTCTCGTCTCGTACTTCGGTCCTTTAAGAGTTCCTCGTATAAAACTGTCCCTGATCCGATTTTTCAATTGTCTCTTCTCGAACATCGGTCTTTTATGACCGCATACCTTACCCCATGCAGAACAGCATGGCGGGTAAACCATCCTCAAGCAGCAGCCAACTTCTGCCGGGACCACCATTACCCTGGGTCTGTTTCTTCAGCTGTTGGCGGCGAATAGTTTCCTATGAGGTCCCTTCATCAGGGACTTCCTGATGCTGCTCCGCCATGGCCTGTTTTTCTTCTCGATTTGCCTCCACATCCGTCACCTCCAGTTTTTCTAGACAGATCTCAATTTTATTCAGCTGGGAGTCCATCCTGGCCATCATCCTTTAGTGATGGGCAGCTAACTTGGCCGTCATTTTTTCTTTCAGCAGTTCTTGGCCAGCTCTCGTTTCTTTTCGGTTGGCGTCTACCAAACGTTCCATCATTTGTTCCATTTGTCTCCATTTTGTAGTATGGCGGTATAATGATCCAATGCAGTTTCCAATCCATCTCACTTCTGACACCAGTTGTCACATGTCTGTAGATGGGGTTTTGGATTGGAGATTGAATTTATTGAACACTTTAATACACGACTCACTACTACACTTAATTACAGTGCCATCGCTAATCTCCACACTTTACCAATCACTATAGCACATGTTAAGTCTTCTCCAGCCTGCAGTGTCTTCACTAGTTGTTTCCTGGTAACGGATCTCAACAATGAAGATTCTTCAAATGCACCAACCAAGTCCTCTCTTCACAGACTCCTGCAAAATTCTCAATTTTTGCTTCAGTTGTCTTTCTTGTAACCCATTGGCACAGATGAACAGAAAACACAGTTTTACTATTGCTCCAATCATCTCTGTGGGAACGTGTTTCGTTTGCAAAGGCATTACCCAGTAACGGCCGCATATACTTGCAAATGTTGTTTCATCGTTTGTTTCGAGGTCATTACCCACTAACAGCTCTACACGTTACAATATTTTATTTGTTACATAGGGATAGGATCCAGATACAGGTCCTGAGAAAAATTTTAAAATATATGTAATGTAAATCTTAATACCTTACATTCAGCAAAAGATGACCATAGTGTATTTGACATATGTTGGACTGATAAACCTTGTATGATATCATACTGTAATCATTATTACATATGTAAATTTAAAGTGATAATACAGCGGTACAGATCAAACACAAATGCACAGAAATGACAGCCACTTTTCATGCTCAAGTATAAAAAATAAAACTGCATAAAAAATATAAAAAATTGTGCATGTGAATATTGTGACATTGCCCTTGTGTCTAGTCACTAACACGTGACAATATAAATGTACCAAAATAAGTGTTTCCCACTGCAGTGGCATGGGTTCGAGCCCAGGTCAGGTCATGTGGCATTTGTGGAAGAAAAAGTGGCACAGATGCAGGTTTTCTCCAAGTACTTCGGTTTCCCTTGCCAATTCTTATTCCACTGACTGCTCCATATTCATCATCATCATCATCTATCAGTTAGTGGTTGGCGTACCTAGTGGACTCAGTCTCACCCACCCCAAGAAACTTAAAAAGAACTACCAAAATAAATGGGTTAGAGAAAAGATATTTTTCCAGTGGCTGTTATGCTTGGAAAACAGGACTGATTGTAGGAATAGATCATTTTGTTGGTGATTGACCAATCCGTGTGCAGCACATAATCATGGCTTTCAACTGTAGCCTGTTCAAATTTCGTTTGTACTTCCAAATGCCACAAGTTACACATAGTTTTCTAATCACAGCATCATCCCTTGCATGAAACATATATACCAGAGTTGGCTGGTCAATTATTGTCTGCAGGAAATTTAAAGGAATGTCTTCATGAGTAACACTGGGAAATAAATGCTGTTAGACGCAAAAAGAAGTGTTGTCCCTTCTCACCATAGCTTGGCGCGTCCTCAGTTTGCAGATGGAGGAGACGCCCTCCGGGTATGGAGAGAAGCTGCAAATATATTGAATAAGCAGTTCCGGACAGCCGAAAAGGGGTGGTCCTCCAGATTAGGGGTTGGGCGTGGGGCTAACAACTCCTCACCGTAAAAAATACTTGGAATGTTAGAAATATGAATAGGGCAGGTTCGCTCAGGGCAGTGGCGGAAGAAGTCTCTAAATATAGGCTAGATTTAGCGGGAGTACAGGAGGTCAGATGGGATGGAGGTGGCACCAAACTAGCAGGTGAATATACATTTTTCTATGGAAAGGGGAATGAAAATCATGAATCAGGTATAGGTTTCTTCCTACGTACAAGAATTATATCAGCAGTTATGAGGGTAGAGCTTGTTAGCAATAGGATGTCATACATAATACTAAGAGGCCGCTGTTATGATATCTTTGTTTTGAATGTTCACGCCCCAACAGAAGATAAACTTGATGATATAAAGGGCAGGTTCTACAAAGAACTAGAAAACGTATTTGATAAATTCCAAAAGTATCATATGAAAATTTTGTTAGGAGATTTCAATATCACAGTAGGTAGGGAAGACATTTTCAAATCAATGATTGAGAATGAGAGTTTGAACGAAATTAGTAGTGACAATGGAGTTAGAGCAGTAAACTTTGCCACACTGAAAAATCTTACTATCAAAAGTACAATGTTCCCAATGCATAGATATGCATCTCCTGATGGGAGGTAGGAGATGGCACTCAAGTATACTTGATGTCTGATCATTCAGGGCAGAAGCTTGTGATACTGACCACAACCTGATGGTGGCAAAAGTTAAGGAGAGACAGGCAGTGAGCAAATGAACAACGCACATATTTCATATGGACAGGTTCAATCTCAAGAAATTAAATGAGGTAGAGGGTAAAGAGCAATATTGTGTTGAAATTTCAAATACGTTAGTGGCTTTGGAAAACTTGGATGCTGAGGTGATGTTAATAAAGTTTGGGAGACTATTAGAGAGAATATCAAAATTTCTGCCAAGGAGAGTCTAGGTTATTATGAACTGAAGAAGAATAAGCCATGGTTTGATGAAGGATGAAGAAGAAAACAAGCCAAATTGCAATGGTTAAAAATTACAATATACAAAACTATAATTTTGTATGTGGTTCTGTATGGTATGAAACTTGGTCTCTGACATTAATGGAGAACCATAGAGTGAAGGTGTTTGAGAACAGGGTGTTGAGGAGAATATTTGGACCGAACTGCACGACGAGGAGCTTCATAACTTGTACCCTTCTCCAAGTATAATTAGAATGATCAAGTCAAGGTGGGTTNAGTGGCTCATTACAGAGCCCAGTGGTGGGTTAATCTGAAAACGGTAAGGAACCATTGGGAGTAGGTGGGGAATTACGTGTATTTTGACTAGCTGAGCTACTGTGGAAAGAGACCACTGGGAAGACCAAGGCGTAGGTGGATGGACAATATTAAAATGGATCTTAGAGAGATAGGATGGGATGGTATGGATTGGATTGTTCTGGCTAGGATAGGAACCAGTGGGGGGGGGCTCTTGTGAACACGGTAACGAACCTTCGGATTCCATAAACTGCTGGGAAATTCTTGAGTAGCTTCACAATTGGCGGCTTCTCATGAAGTGCTCAGCTCCATGAGTGAATGAATGAGTGAATTTAAATATTTGTAATAACATTTCTCACAATTTTTGAACTAGCATTTAGCATTTACTTTCAATCTAGTATAATGATAATACATCATTATCAACCTCTAATCCCAGCAGATAAGCCTGTCATGAAAATAAAATAATTTGAATTTATGAATATATAATAACAATACTTCTAAAGCAGGTTTGTGCTATGGCAATGAAAATTGTATTACAAACAGTCAGATGCCCCAAAACCGGAAGCTACACCAATGAGATTCCTCAGACCATTATCAGGCCTTAGAAAACTGGACCCCCAAAGAGATCCTGACATTCATAATATGTTAAAAGTGAAGAAGAAGGAGGAGGAGGAGCTATTTAATTTGAAGTTTGTATTTCTTGGTCTCAGGCACTTCAGTAAGGTTTACTGCACCCAGTTAAATTGACATGCACAATTAATATAAACACATCTTCAAAAGTATGAGAACTTAAGCTTCAAAGAATTTGGCCAGGTAATGACTGTCTCCAGAGATGTAAGAGAATTCCTGGTATAACAATACTACTGAAGACAGATAATATTAGTTTTAATTTAAATTGTAATTATAGAGTCTCTTGAATTACAGATATTCCACATGTAATGTAACTGCAACATAAAACTGAAATTTGAGATATTTCACAATACATTTGGATATGTGGCCATCCTACAAGTATATTTTCTGTGATAACAGTTAAGTAATCTGTAAAAATAAAGTATTGATACTAGTTGCATATGAAGTATGAGTACAATGTTCTGTAAATGCATACAGAATTTTAAGATCAGGACTGACCAGGTTCTGTTTATGCACTACTTTGAAAACAGTAAGGATCCTCAATATTTAGGTGCCAGAGATCTAATGCTATGGGTGTTCAAGAAGTATTTCTTATTTTAGATTCCAGTACATAAACATAATCTCATCTCTGAAGTATGAAAATTACCAGCTTTAAAAAAATTATGATTTTGAGCTATAGTATATCATCTCATTATCATTACACTTCACTGCCTTTCCAGCTATGAGAATTAGATCTGTTAATTACTTTGTGGTGAAGACTCAGAGTGCAACATCTCTGGAATGATGACATACCCATTTGCTATTCGAATTATATTTTTCACATGTGTAAGGAATACTTTAAAATGTTCAGTCTGAGGAACAGACAAGTAAGAAATTCACAGAGTGAATGCATATAGGAAAAGCCATGCAAATCTCTATGCCTCATTTTTTTAACAGATTTTGATAAATGTTGCTAATGGACCTTAACTATAAAGTGTCATGTAAATTACAGTTTTGTCTGTCTCAGCCACATGTATATCATTACTAATTTATGTGAAGCTCTAATTCTTTTCCTTGATACTGGTTCTTCATAAAGAAAAAGGAAGCTAACATTATTCCTGTTTAATTAAGTATCAGACATGAGGCTGTATGGAGAGTTTTGGTATAGCACCATGCATTCTTAACCTTGGCACTAGGTACAGGTGTACTGGGAGCTTCAGGATCCAATGGCTTTACAACTATGGACATAGCCCGTGGTACCCACTGATAGAAGGTTTTGTGAACACCACAGCCAGTCTGGAAGCTGTGGGAAGAGAAATCTCTTGCTGTTACTGACAATTGAACACCAGTTCCTCACTCATCCAGCCCTTAGCCTAGCCTTTATACTAACTGAACTACCCCATCACCACAAAGATTAGGTACAATATAAAATATTGATCCCTTTAAGATATGTGAATTTTATTTTAAACATTTTTCAGTATATAACAAAATATAGGAGTAGTTTGTGACTCCAAGAACACCTTTTCACTCTTGCTGATCAGCAACAAACAGGACTAACCTCTCACTATTGTAAGGGCTGTATTCATGTGACTCTGCACTGAGACCAGAGTCTGAATGCTCATGGCTACTAAGATGTGTGCTCTTCAGATTGTTGATGTTCAGCCTGTGTTGCTGTAGCTGCTGCTGTGTTGACTGGCGAAGGTGACCATTGAGAAGTGTGCTTGGATTATCATAGAGCGCAGAACCCAGTGCACGTATGGCAGGCAGAGGTGGGTGCATTCCTCCTCGGGAATATAAACTTGCATATTCAAGACAGGTCCTGTAATGGAAAAAAGGATTTTGGAATAATATTTTATAAACCATCATTTAGAAAAGCAGGTCATTTGTGGATTAAGTGAACTGAATATGAAAAGGAGAAACATAAACTGAATTTTCAGGAACATAGTCTTTCATAAAACACAGAATATCTGGATCAAATGTGGGGAAAGTAATGTGTTCTTAAAAGATGCAATTAGGGAACCACAAAATCTAAGAACTCCATAGGGAAGGCCTGTCATTCAATAATCAAAATATAAACTACATCAACTGCTCTTCCTCACCACCACTTTTTACGAGTATATCAAATTTATATTGGGATTACAGAATTTTCATTGTGTCTGTATTTTGTATGGGAGAGAATTGTGTGGGGTTAACCTCTATGAGCTGGTAGCATGTAGTAAGTATTTTTCATAACTTTTTGTTTACTCATGTAAAGGTCATCATGTCATATTATGATGATGATCAATAACAAAAGTTATATGCACATTTTCAATACTGAAGTAGGTAATACTAGTACTTAATACTGCCTTGCACACAAAAATTGTTGTGAAAGGTAACTTTTCTTTAATTCTTATTGTGACAAGTACTCTGGACTACTAACATCCTTGCTTTTTGATAACATCACTGAAAATAAACTCTTTTGCCATCCATTGACAATTAAAGCTATCTGTAGCTATTACTCTGCAGAAATTATAACTCAGCGTCAAAATAAACCAAAAAAAAAAAAAAAAAAAACGAAATGCATAATTATTTTATAAATTAAACTCAGTATGGAACAGGTTTAATTTCTGAACATAAAGATGATAATTTATGGTCAGTGTGTTAAAGAATTGTTGCATTTGTGATCATGAAAAGTGCAATACTTGATTTTCTTTTTGGAAGCTAATTATTTAATGATTGTTCAATTGTTCAATGATGCTGTCAGTATCAAGACTGTGTAGCACTGATAACAGGACACTTAATGTGGAATTGACGGTGGAGTGAGAATTGGGCTATGAAAATGCCTACTTGAGAGTCCTTCATTGATTACATTTGTGACCATAAGTTAAAGAGAGATAAATAAAATTGTCTTTTCATGTATTTTTAAATAAAGAGATTACAGTTCAGTGTCTTGAATTCTTAATTGAGGGTCATCTTGTAATGTTCTGTTTTTTATCAGTATCAAATATTAAATAAATGATGATTAAAACCTTCATTTAAATTATCAAGTAATTTCATATACTGTTTGAGTATGTAACAGTTTTATTATTTATATTACTGGTCATATGTTACTGAGTATAAGTATTATGTTTTCTGTATTGCAGGTAGCTTCCTCACGCAGTAAGTATAAATCTTTCCTCCTGTGATTATTATTATTATTATTATTATTAAGTTTATACTATACAACTTCTTTTAATAGTCTACACAATGTAAGTTTATAACTTGTCTTGTCAGTGATTCATGCAGTTATAAACTTACATTTAACTACTAGTATTTCTAGCACTAGTGTTAGACATTATGATAATTATCATAATGTCTAACACTAGTGCTAGAAATACTAGTAGTTAAACATTTTACATTTTCCAAAATGTAACAAATATTTTACAGTTACATAGGTTTCAACCACTCATTTATAACATTCCTAACATGCACAAGTAACTCTGATTTATTCAGCAGCTGCATTCTTGAAAGAGGATGTGTTATGTGAAAATGCATAGATCAAAATTTTCTTGCTGACTTGTAGTAGACGATAGTGGTTATGTTCCTGATCTGTCTTGGGAAACATTAAAGCACAGTGACATAGAAAGTAATTTAAACTTAAAAATGTAGTATTAAATTAATTTTGTATGACATCATGATTTTGCACAAGGCTGCTCATGGACATCAAGATATCTGATGTCTAAAATGAATCAATTTGGTGTGGGACATGAATGAACTGTACATATTATATGGAGACACATCACATAAATATGGAGTGTTTCTAATAATTAACACTGTGTACATATGAAAAGACAAACTGAAAATGCATAAATATAAGTATGCTTGCATACAGCTGCTACTGTAACATGCAGAGCAGTCAGCGGAGGATAACAAACACAACTATAAAGCAGTTTATCATCACATTACTAGAAAGAAATAAGCAGGTATTTATTACTGATTAAGAGTAGGATTCCCATGCACAAGTTTTCAGAGATGCTAATCTACATTCTTAGGTGAAATCCAGTGACACCAAAATGCAGGTCTAAAATAATTTTATTATCTATAAAAGTTTATAAAAACATAAAATAATTTATAAGCATATACACGAAGTAAATAAAAAATTTCAAATCAAATAGGAAGTCATACATGCACAGAATTTAAGAATGAATTCTCAGCTGGTGTTAAGTCAATCTCAAAGACAACACGTCTAAGGAAATAGTATCGTTAAGTGTACTTTATATGCAGTATAACTGTATGAATGAATGGGGAAATTTATATGGAGATTTTCACATTTTTAAAGGCTTCTTGGAATTTTTCAGTTAATGCTACACTTGCCTGAACAAGTTCTGTAATAAAACGTAAACACCAAAAACAGGCCAGTGAAGCTACAAGATGTGCTTTTAATCATTACATCCATTTTTATTGTAAAAATTCTGTAATAACAGTAGTTATGTTAGATTTGGGTTTGTGCAGTTAGTATAGTGATTGGCTATGAGCTGGATGGCTGAGGGGCTGGAGTCTGAGTCCAGGTAGGGGTAAGATTTTTCCCCTCTCCGTCTTGTCCAGACTGGTTCTGGTGCCCAACCGGCATCCTATTGGGGACTCTTTCCCCGGGAGTAAAGCGGCCAGGTCGTGAAGCTGACCACTCATCTCCATCAAGTGCCGAGGTCAAGAATATGTGATCTATACATCCACTCCCCCATACGTCTTCATGGCATAGTGCTTAATTAGTTAATCACAGAGACAACTTTATCTTTTTTTCTTACAGTGGTCATACCTTCTCATTTCCTAACAGTACTTGTTGAGTGAACATACCCAAGTGTTCAATATTGTGTGTATCAGTCATTATTTTACCTTCATGTTTAATTTAGTTGTTATCCTATTTAAAACATTTCCCCCAGTATAAAAGAATACAAAAAACACTAAATTTCAAAACTGGGGTAGTTAATATCCTGATTTTAATCTGAAGAGACATGAAGAACAAAAACAATGTAGATGGCTGACTTAGACAATAATACCTTTATTTTTATAAGCATTAATATCCTGATTTTAATCTGAAGAGACATGAAGAACAAAAACAATGTAGATGGCTGACTTAGACAATAATACCTTTATTTTTATAAGCATATGTTCCTAATAACATGTATTAGGAGCGAGAAAAATTAAATTAGTACTAATGCTTAAAATTTAAAATTTAACCTGAACTGAAAGTACAGTTATTTATATTCATATGATCATAAAAGTAACTCTTGTTTTCTGGCTGAGAATACATGTGATATTAAGAAGAAAATGAGGAACATCAGTAGAGTTGCCAAATCTCCTTGTTCAGGTAAGGATTAACCTTTCTTTCTGAAAGAGAGATAACTGATTACTTCTGGAACATAGCATTTTCTGGTTGTAATAATTTTAGACTTGCAATATCAGGAAGTTTACAGACATACTGTTACAGTTCCCTCTGATTCTGGTTTACAATTTTTTTTATTCGTAGGCTGCATTTGATACAGTCACACACATACATGCACATTTTTCTTCTCCTACTGCAGATAGCAAAATTGTGACCTGTGAAATGGATCTTACTCTCAGAATTAAACCGAAAAGCCAGCAAAGCATTTGTTCATATACTTGTTTTCTGGCACATCATCCCAGTAGTGTTATAGGTGGATATCTACATTTCGGAGGAAAAGCTGCCTACATCATCAGGCTTAAAATGTGTATGCTGAAATGTTGATTTGGTTGTATGTATTATATTTCAAGGAAGGTGGTTACTGAGAGCAAAGAGAGGGAGTAAGGCAAGGGAGTCTGAGGCAGGACAAAGGAAACTGTGGGTCTCTTCAATGGGCACATTGTGTTCTTTAGTGAGGGCAGAAAATAGAATTTTAAAGATAACCCTTTCATGGTACACAATATTATTTCTGTGTTCCCCATCACAAAATGAATCACTATTTTAAGTTCAACCACAGTTACTATGTGAAGGGGTAGTTGCGAAATTCAGTGAATAAATGATTACTTGACTATAGCCACTCTTCACAACTTGAAGAATATTTCATATGAAGACATTGTGGAAATTAGCTCTGCCCCTGCCTTAGAGTGAATACTTAGAATTATGCAGACAGGTATATTTTTATTGTTTCTATTTTCAAGAATAGTGGAAGCATTCAATATAAAAACTGGAACTTCTTGAAGAGAAACTCATATGCTAACACTAAGAATATATTATACAAAATCAAAAAGCATGTAATGCATTTATTGGGCATAGTACTTGGAGAAGATCAGTTTGGATTTAGAAGAGGAAAAGGAACCAGGGATGCAATTGGGATGATGAGAATTATAGCAGAACGAACTTTGGAGATAGATGAAGAACTGTGTGTTTGCTTCATAGACTGGCAGAAGGCATTTGACCGGGTAAACTGGACCAAATTAATGCAGATCCTAAAAGAAACAGGTATTGACTGGCGTGAAAGAAGATTGATTAGCAAATTGTACATGGATCAGAAAGTCAGAGTACGACTGGACAGAGGGGAGACAAGAAGTGTGCAGATTGGAAGAGGAGTTCGACAAGGATGCTGTTTATCACCAATTCTGTTCAACTTGTACAGCGAATGCCTTACCAAGGAAGCTCTGGATGGGCTCGGAGACTTCAAATTAAGAGGGCAAATTATTCAAACTGTGAAATATGCAGATGACCTTGTGTTAATGGCTAAGGAAGAAACTGTGCTACAGGGCATGATTGATAGACTAATTGAAATTGGAAGGTGCTATGGCATGGAAATGAATGTGGAAAAAACAAAAGTAATGAAAATTTTGATACAACCAACCCC